CCCCCCCCCCTTCTTTCCTGCCAGAACCATCTTTCTGTCTGGCTCTTCAATAAACTGCAACCTTCTTTCTAAAGCAGTCGCCATGTTGCTTATTTATCCCCGGCTTGGATGAACCAGGATGAAGACTTTAATCCATCACCTTCTTGATCAACTTCTATCAAAGACTCAAAATACTGGACAAATACATTTAAAATATGTTTTGGATTTCTATTTCCCAGTTATTTAGCCTAATAATTTCAAGAGAAAGAGTTAAGAACAATGCTATAAACAAATGTCTCAGGTCAGAAAACAGCAGTTGAGATCTATATAAATCAATTTCATGAGAAAATAAATCAACCTTTGAACATACAGTAAAGTCAAATTGTCAGAAGTAAGTCTTCATCCTGGTTCATCCAAGCTGGGAATATTATTATTATTATTATTATTAAATAAACAACATAGCGACTGCTTTGGGAAGATGGTTACAGTTTATTGAAGAAGCAGAAAGATGGTTCTTCGGGAAAGAGCAGAGGAGAGAAGAAGAAGGAGCTGAGCACATGGGCAGTAGCTTTTTGTTTGGAAGTTTTCCTGTTCCTGTGGCATGAACTTTGAGGCTGTTTCCTGTGTCACGTATTCTGACCTGAGCCCAGGTGTGCCTCTCTGGTATTACTTGATGGTAATGGTTAGTCCTATTATGTCCCAAAAGTCATCTCCTGCTTCCCTGGTGATGGGGCTAATGACTCCTAGAGTTTGGGTGGGGTATGCAGATTTTCTCTTTGTCTTCTTGAGCATCCTGGCTCCAGCCTTCCTGATGGTCTTACATCTGCATCTGTATAGGGCTGGCTCCTGCCTGGGGCAAAGAGATGAGGCCAGGTTTGGTTTCTGCTTTTCAAAAAAATTCTTTTAAAAATCCTTTTGGTGAAAAATATATTTTCCTGCCTTTTTAATATTTCCTTCTCTGGGGCTCTGACTTCCCTCAGTTTAGACAGCAGGACTCCATTAATCATTCTGGCCCAAACCCCTCAGGGAACTTGAGAAGCCTGAGTTAACAAGCCACCATCCGATACACAGAGGACGAACAGCCGAATGAATGAATGAACCATTGAGAGCCTAAGATGAGCTTCTGATTCATGCCACTCCGACAAACACGTTCCCCACTTCTTAGCCTCATCCACACTTTTCCAAACACAGACAAATGAAGACAAATATGGACTTCAACTGCCAGGCTTGAAAGAGGTTTGGGAAATATCGGCCCAACTGGGTAATGGGTGCGAATGCTGCGTCTCAGCTCCACTTGCGCCTGCCTCCCAGCAGCGTTTCACTCCCTTGTCGGCCGGCAGAGCTCCTTTGAGCTCGTGGGGAAAGGCGGGCAAGCAGCACCCCAAACCGGGTCCTCCCACCCGGGGCCCCGAACTTGCACCCAGAGCCGGCAGGGAGATATCCGGCCAGCCCCCCTCCCACGCCATGCAGAGGCTCCCCCTGGAAATGGAGAGAAACAGCCCCTCCCTTCGGGCGATCCCCCTCTCTCTCCTTTGCTCCCCCCGGCCCCTTGCCCGGTCCCTGCATGGAAAAGGGCGGCAGGGTTCACGCTCGCCTCCAGCGCGGGACCCCTTTGCACGGGCAGAGATGCCACTCACGGATCTTGGGAGTCTCGTGGGCATCCGCGTCCCCGCAAGGATTCCCGGCAGCCTCTGAGCTTCCCGCAAAGGCGGCGATCCAGGCTCACAGCGGCGAGAGAGGGAAGAACAGAAAGAGCATCCTCTTACCAGGATCATTCCTTGAGCCAGAGGAGGAACCCGGCGCATGCTCAGTTCCCTCCTGCGACCGAGAGCGCCCCCTGGTGGATTCTGCGCGATGGGCCAGGATTCCCCGAAAGGGCGGGAAAGAGAAAGAGCTTCTGAGGGGATGGGAAGGGCAAGGATGATGGGCATGGGAGTAGGAGGAAAGGTTCCCTGCCCAAGAAATGGAATGGGAATGGGAATGGGAATGG